TATGTCTTTATAATTCTGTGAAACTCTCTATAATCAATCCTCCCTCTATCGATACCCTCTGTGCATTTCAATCCAGCCAATTTGTTTTTTCTCTTCAGGGGATAGTGAAGTGAATGGGTAAGGAGGTTTAATTAGGAATATATTGGTGTACTTTAGAGAGGCTTCGAGCTTAGTGTTGGGAGCACTAAGCTCGAAGTTGTTGACGAGTATGTTTACCTGGGACAAATAGTCCGACTAGGTAAGTCCAACTTCGACCGAGAGGTCAATCGACGGATTCAACTCGGCTGGGCAGCGTTCGGGAAGCTACGACACATCTTCTCGTCAGACATACCTCAAAACCTTAAAACGAAATTGTACAACCAGTGCGTGTTGCAATGATGACTTACGGAACTGAGAGGTGGTCCTGCACTGCTGGCCGTATGAGGAAGCTCAAGGTCGCTCAGCGAGCTATGGAGAGGGCTATGCTCGGAGTATCTCTGCGTGATAAACTTAGAAATGAGTATATCAGCAGTAGAACCAGAGTAACCGACAAAGCCCAACGGATTAGTAAGCTGAAGTGGCAGTGGGCCGGTCATATAGCTCGAAGAACCGACAACCGATGGGGAAGAAAGGTTCTCGAGTGGCAGCCTCGTACCGGTAGGCGAAGTGTGGGGCGACCCCCCACGAGATGGAGTGACGACCTGGTAAGACATGCAGGAAGTCGATGGATTAACAGTGGTAGAGCCAAGCGGCAGCTTTTGCTGTCGCACGGATGGGCCGGCTCGAACCGGGGTGGTACCACGACCTCACAGAAAACCAGCGTGAAGTAGAGGTTTACCTCTGCGTTTCGCTTGGTGAGTGCAGGTGGCCGGAGGCCCTTTTTACTGGAAATGAGGCATTCCATCTTAGTCCTCACGGGTGACAACGCATCTACATTTTGACTTGTAAGAGAGGATGTATGTAGATGTCTATGGGCCGCAGAAACCACTTACCATCAGGTGGACTGTGTGCTCGTTTGTCACCCTTGTCCTATGAAAAAAAATGCAGGTGGCTCAGGACCGTGCTTTGTGGCATTCTTTGGGGGAGGCCTATGTTCAGCAGTGGACTTATGAAAGGCTGTAATGATGATGATGAGAGTGGCTATAGCAAACTCCTTTACTATAAATTTATTTTTGCTATTTTTGAAGCCTTGAAGATCGACGATTATTGTATTGCTATTCATGATATTTTCTTAACGATATTACTCAGTGGTTTGTATTCGAATATACAGTCGTTTAATATCAAGCAATAAGCGGTTGTCTGATCTGGTATTTCTTGGTCTGTTTCGATTTAAACTCTCACATGGATCGAACCTTTTAAAGTTTCGTGTTGTCTTGAACAATCAATTACAAATAATGGAGCCACGTCTCTGAACTCCTTTAAAACCATCAACGGCTCTGACCGGCGTCCATGATACGACTGTTGAAATCTCGCATACTGATCGTATAATAAAGTAAACTTATCTTCTGAAAAACTGACATTCAGCCCCTCATAAGGATAATATGATGAATTTAAAAAGACTCTTACAGCTCGTACGTGACAATGATCAAACTCTGCCATTGATAATTTCGCGTTATGATTGCGGTTGGTTTGCAAGGCGATGACCACAAATCGTGGTTTCTCTATTTGCGATTAAGTTTTAATAGACCAAGTCTGTTTACGTGTTTTAGGTAGCAATGGATATTCATATAAGTCCCAGGAACGGAATGCCAATGGAATAGCTCTATCTTTCTCTAAAAGTTTTAATAGGCTGATTCTTTCACGATCTGATACTTTGGTGTGTGGAACTCGCCAAACTATTTTATTTATTATAATTATCTTCTACAACTTCACCTGTATTTAACTTGATCGCATTAAGATTTGTATTGCTTCGTAATAATACTAACTCATGTTTACTATTAATTATATTTTTTTCATAATCTTCTGCAAATTCTAATATCTTGTTCAATGGTATAGATGCGGAAAACGCTCCACCACTAGTATTGCTTGTTCCGCCAGTTGACCAGCCCCAAACTTGAGCACATTTGGATTAATTTTTATTTAAGGATAGATAAGATTTAATTGTAGTAGTTACACCAGCATTCTTAATTTTATCTATTTCTACTCCATTAAGTTCATATCGTATGTCTTGAAAAAGAAATAGCACGGGATTATTGACAAAATGTACGTTTGATAACTTTTCTTTTGTGGTGCTGTTATAAACGTTCACCTTTCCCTCGATATATAAACTACTGAATAAAGGTAGTACGCACAGGTCTTGTTGATTAATAGGAATACGTATTTCGTCATTCTTGTTAAAACTAGTTACATATGGTTTGTATGAATGATACTCAAAACTTTCAATGCTGTTATCGTATTACGTTTGTTGAGATACGTTTAAAATATTCATTTTATCAAGCCAACTAGCTTAAGAAAGAGGTGTGCCTTTATGAGATGTTCTTTTAAAACTGGCTTAGATACACGAAGTAGACGGGTTTTTATTGAAATTAATCATATATTTTTTTCGGAAATGTAAATACAGTTATATTTCTTCACCTCGTAAATTTATCTCTTTATTCTCAGCGTTCAATATCTTTATATTGGTAGCACTTATGGAACTTTGGTTAACAGGAAAATAAATCAAATTTCTAGGTATTTCAATTATTCGATAACCAGGTGGTACATTAGGTGCAAATTCAAAAATTATATGGCTTGCTTTCCCGTTGACAAATGAACCACTAACTACATCGCATTCAATCCGCACGATGGTTGTCGATAGAATACTGACAGGACACTTTGATTCAGTTTTTACCCAGTGATTCGCTTATATTAAAGTGCACATCTTCAGAGCAAAAAATATTTGTTTTCAATGTATTATTGTTACAAGTTAGTTTTAGTACAGCGTTCTTAATATAATTTTTTAGATAATCACAAATATCTAGAAGCTCGTAAGACCCTTCAGGGATTTCGATCATTTCTTTTTCACTAATAAAATTTATTGTTTCTTTCATCTATATTAGGAATAGAATTGTAAGTTGAAAAATACAAAAGACCACATTCGTAGTCTCCTCGTAGTTCTATTGTTGGTGAATAGTTCGTTGATAAAGAGGCTCCTATCCCAATTTTAGACACAGTGAAAGACCTTTTTATACTGATACGTTTATTTATTTCATACACTATATAAATGCTTTTTCCAGTAATTCCTTAAAAAACTTAGACAAAGATGTCCACAGTTTGTAGCACCAAACGCTTGATGTCGTGCATAATTATAGTTAATAGGTAAGTTATGCATATATTTAACTAATTCCAACGGGGGCTTTAAATTACCAAAACTATCTTAATATTCTACGTATTTATTGTGCTTTACAAAGGATACCCAATGCGTTCCAGGATTTCTGTAGCTATCCAAATTCAGTATTCCACATACTATCTTTCTCGGTTTGAAAGGTAAATTATTTTTCATGAAAACGCCGCGAAAGTATGGAATTTCACTTGCATGTTCTAATATGTCGAGATTAGTGAGTGCCCGTCTGGGTAGCCGTTTAATTAGTTTTTTGAGGGGTTAAGATATAAACCTGCTCCTTGTTTATGAGTTTTAATATATAATCCTTTTCCTAGAGCAACGGCTTCCATCATTCTGTTGTGTCTTTCAGATTCCTGAAGACTCTTTTGTGCTACTTTTGAATCATTAACAGCTTTTGCTATACCCGCTGCTCCACCGGCTAATGATCCTAAAGCTGACAATCCTGCAAATATGGGAATAAGTGGTAAAAATCCTCCACACTTTGGAAGACGAATACAACGGGGTAAACTTATTCCTTTTTTATTACTAAATATTTTCTTTGCAGCTGCATAGGCATATTTTATAGCCGAGTGACTCTTTGCATTTTAGTTTTTTCAACTGAGACTGTATTTTTTTATCCCCTTTTTAAATGCTTTTATTCCGTTCGCCGCCTGGATTTTCGCTTTCATCGCATTTTTTGACTATCCATGAGACAATTTTTTCTCCTTTCCTAGCATCTTCTGATTTCAACCTTCTCTTAGCCATTTTTCAAAAGTTTTAAATCCGCTTTTTGTCGAGCGCCCGAATCTTTGTTAGTGTAAGCAATATCATGGAGCATGCACGCTTCATCCAATTTGTTTATCCCACGATCGCCTTGAGTAACCGTTTTTGAAGTTTAGTTCCGGGGCCGCAAAATTGATAGCCGGGTAAATGTAACTCAATCGGTAAATTGTCTATTACTTTATCAATTATACCACTGCCTCCCTTCATCGATAAGTATAAAATGACATTATTAAGTAATAATACGTTATTTATATACCTAAATACTACTAATTCACTTTTATCCCACTATTTACTGCATCACTCAAACCTAACCATTTTACTAAAAGCTTATTTCCTTTTCTTTTAATGACTTTTTCAATAAGATAAAGGTCTGGAAATTTAGTTTTTTGTAATTCGTAACCGTAAAAAGAGCCTAGAATTTTTGATTGTGTTTGTCTTCTATTTGATAGGTTTGAGGATTGGTTTGGTTGACTTTAACGATACGAAATATTTCTGTAGACCAATTAGGGGTATAACCTTTGTAAAAATCTCCTTTGTATTTGCTTATACGAACGTAATCGCCAGCGTGAAACGCCGGTCCTTGACGTATCTTAGGCTTTTGAGACTTCTTGATGTTTGACATAACTAAAATCGCATTTGAATCATTAACGTTGATAGGCTTGAATTTTGTAATGCGATGTAAAGTATTATTATACCGCTTTACAACAAAATCTAAATTATTTTTAAACCATTGATATCGTCCGCATAGACTGAATATTTTGTAAAGGTGAGTTTTTAAAGTTCTTATTACTCGTTCTACAATGGAGGCCTTTTTACTGGAGTACGTGGAATAATTATTTATATTATAATTTTTCATTAAATTCTTAAAAGAATCATTATAAAACTCTGTACCAAGATCTGTTTGTAAAATTTTAGGTTTCCGTCTTGATTCGGATAATCAACTTTGCATCGCATTTTTGACATAATTTTTATGTTCCGTTTTCAATGGTCTAACCCATACGTATTTTGATAGAGCATCGATTACTACTAGAACATATTTATATCCTTTATTAAACGTGAAATATTTTTGAAAATCAATCAGGTCAGCTTGCCATAAATCATCTATTCCTTTAATAATCGTATGTTGACGAGAAAAATTTCTTCTTGCTGCTTTGTGAAGCTCATTGACTATATCTTGTTTACTCATTTTGGGCAGGTTTTGATGCAATCATGAGGTCGATTTCCTTTTATTGTAATACATTGTCCTGAATTTGATAGTAGTCAATTTTTCTAAATTGTTAAGGTACTTTTTGACATTATCGTGAATATTGTTTTCATTTCATTTTTAAGTTCTTGAACACATTTATCCACATATTCTTTATTCACGGCCTCATCCTCTTTTTCAGGAGTTTGCAGTCCTTTTAATCTTGTTAATTTCAAATCAAAATCACCAGCGTCTGTTCTTACTAAAGCGTCACTGAGAATATCAGAGCATTCAGATATTCGTAAATGCTTATGAACATGATGACCAAATTTGTCTATATTCATAGCCGTCTTATCGGCTTCGGTACTGCGTAATCCTCCTGTAGGCAATTTAATATATTTAATGTCTTTTATGATGCCAGATTCATGCAATTCTTCTACTATTGCATAAATTTCATTGTAAACCCCTGTGTTACCAGCTGCCCATGATCCAAGTAGTAATTTTAATCGTTAAATCAAATCAGTATCTTTTTTAACTTCTTTTAAAATATCAACTCCTTCTCCCTTTGGAAAACTTTCTGCACTACTTTTATGATTTCTCGAGTTCTTAAACAATGGTTTGATCACTTGCATATATTTAAATCCTTTGTTACTGTTAATTCGTTTGGACGGATCATAATTACGTTTGTGTACATTAGTATGCAAAAGTAACAATTTATAATTTTGTAAGTCTTCCTCTGTCACAATATCTAAATTTGGTAGCTTTTTAAACAATAACTCTTTTTAAGCCTGGAGTTTTTTTCAAACTATGATTTCCAATTTTTAAGATGTGATCATTATCATAGACACGAAATGGGCCGAGCATTAGTTTCCCACGCTCATTTCTGACACCATAAGGCACATATTTTAGTAATTCAGATGACATAGTCCATGATAATGAATCATTTGCAATACTTGGTGTTGATTGATGTGATTTAAACGAAATTTCATTGGTGTCATTATCATCCACAGGAAGCGAGTGAGTAAGGGTTTTGTGGGATGTTGTGTATAAACATTGTTATCTGAATTTACTTCATTATTAACAGGATCTTCAAACACATCACTTGAAGAAATCGATGACTTACTTGTGCTGTACTTAGGTTTTTTAATAAGGTGAACTTGGTCTCTATCTTCATTTAAATTCTGCTTTTCTTCAGTTTTTCTGGTAAGCATATTAAGTGGATCAACGATGGGCTTAAATATTGTTTCCAAAGCCAGACTGTTTGTATTTTTTGCATATTTTATCATTTCTACCTTTCTTTTTACAGCTGCAGCAGATTTTACAATTTGTTTCTTGAGGTCTCGCTCCATTGTAAAGGAATTGTACTATGTTTGACTACTCAGCAGAAAGTGATTGCTATGTGACATAGCAGCTATTTAAACGTTAGTCTAAAATTATGTTATGTATTTATGTTGTGTATGTTAATTAGGTAATTATGAATGTATCAAACTTCATTCTGTAACAGCCTTTACTTCGTTCACAGTCTTTATTTATAACAATATAATTGAAAGGTTTACTCCACACAGTTGAACACATTTCCCGGAACTGAGACCATGTCATGTCAGACCCTACATGCCCGTTATAAATGTGACTCAGATTTACGTCATCTTGTTTAAACAATATGATCAGGTTAGCGTTATCTCTAACTAGTTGCTTAGGTATCTTAGCATACGTTTGATTAATATAAAAACAGTCAATGTACTTATGTCGACCCATGGTGAAATAATCGCGTATGTTGTTCTGATTTTCACAAGCTACATCGTCAAATATTATAATTGAGTTAGGCGAGGCTTCGTGTGAACACAAAATTTCGCTATTATGATTATACTTGTAATAAGATATACCTTCCACATTCTGCAGTACTTTTTCTAAAAATAAGTATTTAGGTTGACTTTGAATATACATAAAGGTTACGAGAACGCGGTCCATTTTGATGTAACATTAAGCTGATAACTAAGTTAGTTTTTCCGCAATTTGATGGACCGCATACAATACTACGTATCGTATTTGGCAATAAGCTGCCATGACGTTTAACCTTATTTTTTTGGTGCAGGACAGATACATTCTAATTTAAGTGATTCTTTTTGTTTGAGAAATTTCATAACAGTTTTGTTAACTTGTCCGTATTGGCTGATAGATTTTAATGAACTAACGTTATTTCAATCGTGTCAATAATTTAAAAATTTGAAAAAGTTGCTGAAGATTAACTTAATCATCAGCTTTAGTTCAAAAGCATTTTTTTATATACGATAGGGTGACAAACGAGCACACAGTCCACCTGATGGCAAGTGGTTACTGTGAGCCATAGACATCTACATCTATCCTCAATAAAGACTCAAAATGCAGATGCGTTGTCACCCGTGAGTACTAAGGTGGAATGCCTCTTTTCCAGTAAAATGGGTCTCCGGTTCTCTACACTCACCATACGAAACACAGCAGTGTTAAGCTGCTATTTTACGCTGGTATTCTGTGAGAGCGTGGTCCTAACCCGGTCGAGCCGACCCATTAGTGCTACAACTGTATTACATTTACATCTACAATTTACAATTTTATTTAAATATTTTTTCACGATCATTTGAGCATTATGATTCGTGCACTTTTGGATTTTCCAAAAATTTTTTTATATTGAAGTTTGACATAAAATTATCGGAAAATTGGAAGTATAGTAATAAAGGTATTAGTTAAAACTAGTGTGTATTTAAACTCCTTTAAAAATTTAAGTATAACATGAGTGCTTAAGGCATGCACATTTGGATTTACCAATAGTTTTATGTGATCATTTATGCATAGAAAAACAAAAACAATTTAGGAAACAGTAACTAGTTAACTAAGTAAGTACTTACTTCAAATTCTAGACAGCACAAATCTAAAAAGCTGATCTGAAGAAAATCTTAAATTAACGCTAGTTCCGCCAAATATTCTGCGTAGATGTCCTTCTAGGTAGGTTCCACTCACTTACTTATTTCTACCATCAACCAGCAGTACGTGTACTGTAGTGTACCAGTCTGATGAATATAGAGAGCCAATATAATTACCGCTGTAATGCATTCCATTTAGTCCTCAGAGGTGACAATGCATCTGTAGCTTTCTTTGTTTTAAATTGGTTGCAGGTGTCCATGGTTTGCAGTAGTCACTTCTCATCAGGTGGACACTAAATTCCTTTGTCATTTCAGTTTAATAAAAAAATAAGTCTATGAACCGTGGTTATTTTTATTATGTAGTTTTCTTAAATGCATTCAAACTTAGTCCTCAGTTGTGACAATGCTTCTGAAACCTTCTTGGTTTGAAATTGGTTGCAGGTGTGTGCAGTAGCCACTTATCATCAGGTGGGCTAAAATTCGTTTATCACTACAATTTAATAAAAGATGTTAAAGGCTCCAATATCACATATTGATCCTGTTATTGTACACGTATTACCGCACGCACGTAATATCTAAAGGGACCAAAGTTCACTTTGGAAATAAATTTGTCGGCCCTTCTTGGTAGTAAGTATTATATAATACACAACTTTTTCGCTTTCCAATAAATATGTCTTATGAGTACGAGTAAGCCCCAGAATATATTTTGTTCTCAAAAGATATGGAAATAAATTCCGCATATACCTACTCTTTAATATTCTAAAACCTCTCGTTATATCATCATTCAATATCAATACAATCTCGTGAAATAACCCATCACGAGTACACCTTTGAATATGCCTGCTTGAGACTGTTCAGTCACATTAATCTCTATACAGGGTTATTTTGCAATAACCGGCTAAATTTGTAGAGAAGGTTCAGAATAAGTAATATAGTCAAATGATGAAGAGAACTAAATTGAAAAAAAATCTTAAACATTTTGTACTTTTATCTTTTAAACTCAAAATACGTGGTAATGCATTATTTTAATTGATTTTACTGCGCACGCACACATTCGTGAGGATCGATCGGTAGGCAAAAACGTTGTTGCCCATAAATTACATTCAATTTGGGATATTTTTAAATAATATTTGGCTACTCTTTAAAAAATTAAACCTGTATACAAAAATTAATCACTGTCTGTTAGTTTCGCTAAAACTCGAAAACGGCTCGAAAGATTTAGATCAAATTTTTGGTGTTCATTTGAGTGGATCCCTGGATGGTTTAGGTTTACAATTGCACCCAGTTGGTGGCGCTGTTTTGAGATCCAGAAATTACCCGTGCGAAGCCGGGGCGAATCGTTAGAATATTGATATATATATATATATATATAATTATTCTGTACGTGTGTTAGTCACTAAAATCCTCCTCAACGGCTGGATCGAGTTTGATGAATACTTTTGTGTGTTTAAATGGATCCCTGGATAGTTTAGATTCACAATTAGACCCGGTGAGCGTTGTCCAGATCCAAAATCACCCGCGCGAAGCCGGGGTGGATCGCTAATCTTTTTATATATATAACGTTTCGGTGTGTGGGTGTTCGTAATTCTTCTCCTCATAAACGCCTTGATCGATTTTGATGAAATTGTATGAGGTGCATGGTTCCTAGCTATAGTTGGAACCTGAAGGTGGCGTTATTGTCGGGATCCAGAAATTACGCGTGTGAAGCCACGGCGAATCACTCGTTTCTTTAAAAATATTTAATTATGTAAATACTTCCTCCCTACAAAGAGATGCCAATGTCCCAGCTGTGGACTTTTACGATGATGAAAAAGAAGACGAAGAAATAAACTCTTACTTATGTACGATCCCAGCTCCACACTAGCTAAGAAAAAACCTTCTTCAATCTTGTCTTGAACACATCCACTTAGCATATGGAGGAAGGTACTAATACTAGCAAACATTAGAAACATGTTTTGTATGCAATCGGAGCATACTCACTGATTGAATGAATATATTTGCATAGATATTCTTAGGGTTGACCTTACAACAAAAAACTATTCACAAATTATTATGACATATGATGCTTGCCGTGTAGTGGCGGTTAAGAATATCCACTACCCCATA